TAATGAGGTGCTTGCAAAACAGCAAAATAGTTATACCAATATAAGGTATCCACCAATATAATTGTGCTGGCTAATGGGGACATACAGTGGCATAAATATTTCCTTTCCTACCTAGGAAAAATGTAACATCAGTGTAAACAATGTTACGAAGATTTTTATCTGAGAGCTCTGACAGGGCTAGCGGCAGCAGTTGAAGATACATTGAACTGTGAAACTGAGCATCTGCAGCACCAGGACATGTCCAGTTTTGCCACTGTTGCAGGGGTGATGGTAACTTTTGGCAGGAGGAGGGTAGCAAGCTTCTGCTGGTGACAAAGCCTTAAACAGCCACAGTTTCTGGCTTTCTGACCGTCTCATTTCATGGGATTGTTCTGCTGCGAACTCTGCCGGTAGGGTTACCCTCAGAGCTTTTATTTGTAGGCAGAGCCCTGAAACCATGAATTTGTACTCCATATTAAATACAAATCAAAGCGTATGGTTGTGTATGTTCCCTTCACACACGCTGATAAGTCTTTCCTGTTGGCTATTGGCTTTTTATGCTTTTATAAAAAGACAGAATTTTGTTAGCCTGCACATGCTAGGAGATACGGCCCATTGTGATCCTTTTCACCAGTGTGCTATGTAACATGGGTCCTCTGAATTCACTGGATAGGTCCCAGTTGAAGGAAGAGAATGTGACTCAAAAAAAATCCATCAGAATTTAGTGGTGGAGATTCCATCACAACTTTGACAAATTTGTTTTATTTTCTGACATTTTAATATGCTGCAGAGAATGATATTGGGTATTATCTGTGCTATTAAAACCTTTATGAGTGATTATTTAGAACAATTTAATAGTAACACTACAAATCAATTAAACACTGGCTTCTTAATCGTGGAATTGGGGTCAGAGAAAGGCAAGTGAATTTTTGTGTGTCTTCATTTGAAAGAAAGCTTCCTTTGATCTGATGAACAATAGAGCATCAGCAACTGAAACTTGTCATTACTTTGCTGCAGGGTTAGTGAAATTATCATCCCTGTCTAATCTAAAAAACACAATTCAAGTATGCATTAAACCTTTGATCTGGATCTGCATCTCCTACGGTCAGACAATCTTCCTGAAGCATCTCTAATTGTGTGATCTGATATGTTTATATAGAAGCAGAGACAAGGAGTAGCATTTGAAGGATTTAGATAGCATCAAATTCTTCAGTAGGAACCTGTTAGGAAGCTAAAATTGGTTAGAAAAGAGATACAAAACTAGTCTTTGATCAGAGAAGACAGCTGCCTTGAAGGCCCTGATGTACAAGCAGTCCCTTCCTACTCAGTGAGACTGGCTTGTCTGCAGCAAGGTCTATTTTCTGGTAAAGGTTCCCAGTATCAGGCCTCAGGAGAGTCTGAAAATCTGTGGGTTTATTCAGCATAGTATGCAGCGATACCTTTGGCTCTGCGGAGGTGACTGCTGTTGACCTTACAGGAGATGTGCCTGCAGTTTATGGGATAATAATCAGATGGCTGCTGTGTTTGGGGCTGCAGCTAGTCATTAAGAAATGGGGCTGCAAAAATATAAAAGAAAAGGTAATTTGCACATACAGAACTGCAAGCTACACGGATATAGTTGAGTTTGTTGAAAAAGAAATAACATTGACATTTGTTAATAAAGTTAGAAGCCTCATTCTGCTCTCACTTGAGTCAAAGGTAATTCTGTTATTGATCTGAATAATAGCAGTGGCTGTCAGCCCCAGTTTAGAGAATGATATCAACAAAATCCATCATCCTAGCCTTACAAAAACATACTGATAGGACTTTGCAGTAATACAGTCCAATGTTATCTGAAATCTGACATTTGTCTAGAGCCACAAATGCATTTTTCTGTTGCTATTTCATATACTGCTGAGAAAACCTGTAAATACCCGTAAAAACTTAGCACAACAAATTCTGAATGACTAGCACTGCTGTTACTGCTGTTATTTTAAAGTCCATTATCAGGGGTGTGTATATCTGTAGTTGGCAGAATGACACATCTGTGCTGTGCGGATAGTAGCTGTCAGGAGAAAATAGTGAAAGTATTGACAGCTTTATTTCGCAAACTTGTTTTTAAAATTCTTTGGAACATTTTGGAATCATAATATGTCTGATCCTTCAGGGTGAGAAAACAAATGCAAGCATAGTCCTTCTTAGGGAAAAGCTAGATGTTTTTCTGAAGTGTCCAATTATTCTTTCAAATTCATGGTGGGGGATTAGTAGCTGTATGGGAGAAATATGGATGTGACCTTGTGTTTATGTGGGAATGGGGTTCTCCATGAAACCCAGTATGCCACTGCTGGGCTAGACAGTACTGTAGTCTTGGAGTTTGCCTTAATGTCTCTTTGAAACTCTACCATACTGTCAGGAGACACTCTGCTGCATGTGGCGTCTTAAGGCTGCACATTCTTCATCAACTGGCTCTTGTTTCAGAAATAGCTGGAGCTGCGGTTGGGTGTAACTGGGTGTTGGGCTATAGGTCCTCAGTGACAAAATATAGAGTGCGCAGCCTCTCAGGTAGGGTAGGAGGTGGCCAGCGGGATTTACATCTTGAGCTAACACAACTAAGACCCCACCCAGATGAAACAGGGCTAGTTACTTATTACATCTCATGGGCTGCTAGGTGTTTTTATCCATTCTAATAGATAAATATACCTATGCCACTGGGGTTTGATGCTTAAAGCTAATGAGAAGGAAGAAACATGACCTATTTTTTTTAGTGCCAAAAATTTGCTTTTATATCTCATTTGCAGTAAGTACAGAAAATACACCTGGGGATGCTTTATTCATTGTTACAAAACAATGTGACTAATAAATACTTAGAACTAGTTCACAACACTTTCAGTACTCTGCTGACTCACCATGTCGGAAAAAAAAGACAATTGTGTGTTTTCATCTTAAAAGTTTAGGTGATAAACATGTTACATAATAGGAAGTGTGTGTGAATTTCTTGTTAGGGGGATTTTTTGTTTTTAAACTTATTTTTCTTTGCAGAATTTAGAATAGAATAGAACATTTCAGTTGGAAGGAACCTACAACGATCCCCTAGTCGAACTCTCTGACCACTTCAGGGCTCACCAAAAGTTAAGGCATGTTATTAAGGGCATTGTATAAATGCCTCTTAAACATTAACAGGCTTGGGGCATTGACCTCCTCTCTAGGAAGTTGTTCCAGTGTTTAACCACGCTCTTGGTAAAGAAATGCTTCCTAATGTCCAGTCTAAACCTCCCCTGGCGCAGCTTTGAACTATTCCCATGCGTCCTATCACTGGATACCAGGGAGAACAGCTCAGCACCTCCCTCTCCACGTCCCCTTCTCAGGAAGCTGTAGACAGCAATGAGCTCGCCCCTCAGCCTCCTTTTCTCCAAACTGGACAAGCCCAAAGTCCTTAGCTGCTCCTCATAGGACATGCCTTCCAGCCCTGTTAACCAGCTTTGTTGCCCTCCTCTGGACGCATTCAAGGACCTTCACATCCTTCTTAAATTGTGGGGCCCAGAACTGCACACAGTGCTCAAGGTGAGGCTGCCCCAATGCTGGATACAGCTGGACAATCATCTCTTTTGACTGGCTGGTTATGCTGTGTTTGATGCACCCCAGGATGCGGTCTGCCCTCTTGGCTGCCAGGGCACACTGCTGACTCATACAAGTATTATAGCATTTGCTTACTTATAATCTGCTTATAAAAACCTGCTTATAAAACTGCTCTCTTCAGTGGTATTTCAGTGAACTTAAAACAATTACCGAATATTTAACACATTTAAGAAAATAAGCAAACCATAGTTATTATGTTTTTCTTCCCTCCACAAAATCATAATTCTACCAAGCAAGCTTGATTAACATTAACAAAGTGATATCTCTTAAATCTCAGATTTTCAGCTATAGCAGTATTGGACTTCTGTGTGCAAGACACTAAACTATTCCCTGCTCTCCTAACTCTGCAGGAGGAACTGTGAAATTCAGAGGTCAATTTTCTGTTCATCACTGCAGGACTAAGGACTGAGTTTCCAATGATTCAGAACCTCACAGTTCTCAACTACTGACCTTGCTGAACTGGGACTTTACTGAGAAGCAAAGAATATTCTTCAGAATCAAATAACTTGCAGAAATCAAAAGAAATAAACATATGAATAAATGTAATATAGCATGGAGATCAGAGAAGAAGTTGCATTTAATTAGGAGGTACTAAAGAGTAGTTGAATTAATAAGGAATGCAGTTATCATACTTGTATTCATGTGTAGTATACATTTTGAAAAGGAAGATAGATGTTGCTTGTTGAAAAGGTTTCTGTCATGATGCAAAATACTTGCTATAAATATGCCACTTTGACAAAAGAGAATAGTACGAGGAGGAGTTAAATGTAGAATGCTAAACAGGAGATTTAAATTATTCACTGGCAACTTTGAGAGGTTTCTGTTGGAAAAATGCATGAAAATAACACTTTCTTTTAGACCACTGTCTTGAATTACTGAAACATATGGTAAATTACAAACAAAAACATCTATCTATTGAAAGAAGTTAGCTGCCAGCTAGGGTTTGAATTGTTAGTGTTTTGAAATGAATTATTCTAGTCCTGCAGGATGGTTCCATCAGGAGAAGTTTTTGATAGCTGAAAATATGCTTTATGAATCCCTGAAATCTTCCAGGCTGCTCGAAGTTTCTCTTGTCTTTTGTGCTAGCCACTGGGATCCCCAAGCTTGTTTAAATAAATAAATAAATAAAGTCCCAGCATGTAATTCTAATAATTTTGAAACTTCTTGGCTCGCTGTTGGCTGAGACATTTTGTAAAAACAGACCAAGTTGCCAGCACGCTCTGGTAATCTGCCCTCTGTTTTAGCTAGAGGCCCAGCCGAAGAAGAAGCAGTATGCCTTCCCAGTGTCCTCACAAGAAAATACCTATGGCTAGGAAAGTTCCTGTATCCGTAGCACAAATATAATTTCCAGCGTGCATTTTGTCAAATAGAAATGTAAAAGTTTTCAGGGTAGTTTAATTCCACAGAATGGAGCTCTTGCTGTAGGTTACGATCCAAACTGGCAGTAGGTTTTGCGAGCTTCCCTACTAGGACATCCTGACCTTCAGCCTGGCAGTTACCTGCTGCTTGCCAGGCTAGGCTGGGAAGCCCCTCGCCACGTTTCACAGGCTGCGTGGAGTCCCCTAGCTGCTAGTCTGTCAAGGTGTCTCTGATTTGGAGCTGCCCGCCTGTACGCTCAGTGGGACTTCCAAGTTCTAGTTCAGTTCCTGTTGCAAAGTCTTCAAGTTTCACTTTGTTTTAGTCATTTTTTTATTTCCACAAGCGATGCTGTTTTTTTGGTTTCAATATGGATGCAATGGAATACAAATTCATGTCATTAAGTGGAAGATGCAGCTTCAGTGGTATTCTTATTCTTTTGATGGGGTATAACGAGCCAAAATTTGGTTCTCATAGAATCTGGTTTCCTCCAGTCCATCAGAGGCTCATATGTACGTGGATTTTCAACACTGTAGGAACAACACATTGTTACTACTGCAAGAAGAAAATGATGATAGAATCACTTACGTCATTTGTGTACACCATTAGTAAGTCTTGTTTCCTGAAACAGAAGAAATAAAGAGAAGTAGACTTGGGGGTGACTTGAGAGGCTTTCTCAGCTGCAGACAGCTCAAGGGCCCCTGTATGGCACTGCCTGTAGATGATATTTCTGTAGAACCTTCTCTTTTTCCTTTCTTGGTCTTTCCCCTTTTTCTGTTTATTTCATATCTCTCTCTCCTTTTCTCTTACATGCTTACTGAAATAATACCAAGTAAACCCCATAGCAAACTCCCATCATCTCTCGTTTTGCACCGTGATAGATGTATTTGTACTTGCTAAAGACTCCTTCGTGTTTCTGAGTGTTACCTTGTTACTTGCACAGAGAACAATAGTTTCTTAATTAAAAAAAAAATCTTAAATAAGAAATTTTCACTTTCAGCTTGTAATAGACATACATACACAGAAATAGTTTTAAATGCATTTTTTCTTAGTGCAATGTCAACAAGGAAAATATGACGTTAGCAGGCATTGGGCATGGAGCAGTTTCCTGTCTTCTGTAGCTTTATAGAAAAAGAAAATAATATGTTTTCCTTTGCTGACTGCTTGTGATTAGGAGTCTTTTAAAAAACAAACCTGGCTCAAATTTTAATTGCATTTCTTAAATACTGGACTCTTTCAAAGACACCATACATAAATTGCACAGAGGTAGAGGTGTGCAGATTGCCTGGCTAAGCAGTGTCTCAGCAGCTCCCAGGGACCTGCAAACTTATTTTGTATAAAGCTGAACAGATTGCCCTCCCAGTTCAATAGAGTATTTCATATGGCGTGTCCTTAATTGTGTCTCTGTATGGAAGCAGAAGATTGCTGCTAGCAGGAGAACAGGGCAGTGCAGGCTGCATGTGGCCACTGTTCAGGGACTGTTCTGTTTCTTTTCAGATTGAAAAGTTCCGTGGTCAATTTTTAGGTTATTGAAACATTAACATACAGTTTTTCTTGAGGATGACGCATTGAAGGTGCTTTTAGCTATTTGGAGGTGTGTTCTGAGGAAACCATATTTTCCTTCTGTCACATGTAATGCAGTATTTGCTACGGCAGGTAGCCACTTGCTTTACTTTTGGGAATAGTTATGTAATGCTGATTTTTTTTTATTTTTATTTTTTAAATTTCTTCTTTATTACTCTCCCCTACATACATAGCTGAGTTGCATTTTCCTGTGCCAAGAACAATGAATTAATCATATGAACCTTTGTAAAGGTTCATCCTTTACTACCATCTCTCTGCGATAAAAATTGCCAGGGGTCAGTTGTGCTCTCCTTTCCTAAGCCAGGCAAAGAAAGAGAAATTTGGCAGGAAGCCTCTGCCGCTACAGGTCGCAAATGTAACAGGACCATGAGGATTTGCATGGCAGCCTTGGTGAATGTGCGAGGTGATTGTTTTTCATTGCTTCTGTATGAAAGCAGAAACACAGTGGAAACAGAAGAAAAGAATGCAGGTGTTGCTTAGTGTGTTTGTGAGAGGCATTGCCTCCTCCTTGCTTTTCTAAGGAAGGTATGTGCAGGTTTGCAGTTAACACTGTTTAGAGTTCTGTTCATTTGATGTGGTTAGGGCTTGCATCTCTGTTCAAGTGTAGTATCTCCTTATTATCTGGGAGTATGTGTTAAGCCCCATCTGTAAGAGAAGTGAAGATTAGTAATCCTCTGCGGTAACTGTATTGCATCTGCGTTTTACACTGCAACAATCCTTTTGGTTATCTTTGCATGACTTGTAAAGGCAGAGGCTCCTGTTTGATATTTTCAGCTGTGGGAGTGAGCTGGAGCTTGTGTTCATGTAACACAAATGCTGTTTATGCAGTTCATATTTCAGATACCTGTAGCTAGTCATGCTTCAGCTTCTGCTGAGCCATTTTCTTAGGGTGCGGTTTTGCTACTGATACAAACCGATGAGACTGTGGTGCTGACATTATTGATGCTCCTTCCCTTGTTCCCCTGGTTCCTGCATTATGCTTGTGCAAGGAAAGCTGCAGGAGCTGCTTGGCAGGAGGGAGGAACATTGTGTCGTCTCAGTGACAGCCAGCGGTGAGATCTGCTTAGCTGTATCATCAAACTGCACCCTAAAGGTGCCCCTGCCAAATGCAATACATTCAGTTTTCAGCTGAGTCAGTGAGTGGATAACGTGGCTGCTGCAGTTCTGGAGTGAGGGCAGAGGTCAAGAAAGCGTAACAAGATTGAAAGAGGAGGAAGGGAACCAGCAGGACCATCTCCATCTTTAGAGGCACAGATCTAGATAGACATATGCCAGTCTGTGAAACAAGTCTTTGAGGTGGACTTAGACATGCATTCTGTTTTGTTTTTTTAAATGTCAGACTTATAAAATGTTTGTGGTCTGACAAGCCAGCTTAGAAGATATTCATCATACGGCCTTGTTCTCAGCACGTGTGATCTGACTATTTTTTGGGGTGGGATTTTGCGTTAGAAAGCAGGCTGTTTGTTCTTGGGATCTTTCTGCAATGAGTAAACAGTTCAGGTTAGGCTTTGGGTCCCTTCAGTTCCAGGATGAAGAGGCTGTAGGACAGTCAGTGCTACACATCCCACTCACCAGGCAATGCGCTGAATGGTGCCTGCAGTCATTCCCTCCACTTGCAGGCAGGAGGACTGAAGCCCAGGGAATGCCTTATCTCCAGAAGGTGGGGGTTAGAGTCCAGAGCAGAAGACCAACCTCCTGCCTTCTCTTTGTGGGCACCAGACACTCAGCAACGTGCCTGCTGTGAAGAGATTTGAAACTGAGAACGTGTCTGCTTTGTCCCATTTATATTAACTGGGCTAATGAAATAAGGCAGAGAAGTTCTCTTTAATCATGGCTATTTCACAGTTCCTATTAATACTGCTACTTGAGTCATCTTGCCTATAGTATAGTAGAAGTAATGTTTATTTGTCCTGTCTGGGTTAGATAAATCCTGGACTAGTGAGATTTTTGCAGCCTATTGAATATCTTGGCTAAAATAGTATAGAATAATGAAATACTGCTGCCATTTAGTAATGGAGAGACCACATGATATGGTCGGCCTCTGGGTCAGCAGCTGTCAGTAGGCAAGCCTTTCTAGTACAGAACATCTTCTGAAAACTGGTTCAGGAAGCATAGAGAGGGAAAAAAAGGAGGAAATTGTGACCTGTTGGAAGTGACGAGAAGTTTCCAGGGAATTTTGGATAGAGGGCGTCATCTGATTTTGCTAAACTTCTGGTCCAGTCTGGACATGATTTATGATGGTAACATCCTTATTCTGCTGTGAAATGAGCAATATGATTTACCTTTTTACCAGGGATCACTGTTCAGGTTAGCTGGCAGATCTGTTCCTGCCCCCCCCCCCCCCAATATTAGATGTGTGGGAAAGAGAAATCTTAGAACAGAACAGTTTTCAGTCTAGCTAAAGATATAAAAAGTAAAGTAGCTGGAAGTGAGGTGAATTCTGAACAGAAGCAAGCAAATATTTTAAGTGAAGGCAGTTAGTTAACTATGGGAACAATTTACAAGGGCTGGCAGATCCTCTGTTATTATCAGCTCAGGAATGGAGTTTAGGGGGGAAAAAATCTAAAGAAACTCTTTACTCCTAAGAGGAATTAATTCAGGGATGCTGAAGGTCAGAACAGATAATCCCAGTGGTCCCACCTGGCCTGGCCTGAGGATGTCTTTGAAATTTTTCTCCAAAGCAGTCTGAAAGCGTATCCTCCTATTACCTGTTGCAAATCAGTATAAAGAAATTAAAACTAGAGGAGAAAGCCGGGATACTTTAGCTGAGAGAGACTTTTTTTGTAAATCAGGCTACTGAACAAGTGATTGGCTCATTTTAACAGTTCTGTATGTCAAAATGGACATCCTATTTTTCTGCTTTTTAATCCTAATAAGGAGACCAGTTCCAAATACTGGGGTAAAATGGAGATGTCTCTGGGAGTTTTCTCCTGTCTTACTTTTGTGAATAAAAATATAGATTAACAGTAAAACCAAATGCAGAGAAATGGTGTTCAAAAAACAATCAGCCTGCTAAAAATATGGGAGACAAACTTTGTATTATGATAGTAGACTATTAGCTATCAGAGTTTTCTTCACCATGTTAAAGATAGATTAGGATCATATTATGTAGAGAGACATGGATTTTCTTTCAAAGTCAGTGTCTCTGCTTAATAAAAAGAGATTATATTGCCTGTTCCTAGTTGTATTTATGGCTAATACTCTTCCATGACAACAAGGAAATTGTAAAAAAATCAACATCGAACTGTCTGTTTGAGATGAGATAAATAGGATGCATATGGAAGCTAGAGTCTCTTTATAGAATACAAAATTAAATGGGGGATGTGTTTTCCTCTGAAACTTCACAATGGATATATATTTTGGTGGTGTATCTCGCCGTGTCTTCTGCTGTGCTGAAACGTATTAAAACCAAAATATTTTGATGCTAAAGCAGTCTATTCTCTAAGAGTACAGATGCTTTCCCAAAGTGATGTATGAATAGCCATGAACCAAGTTTTTCTGGACGTGGTACCTCTGATGATACGAATACTCTTTTCAGATTCCCTTTGGTTGCATCACACTCTGGAAACCTTGGAAGCAGCAAGGTACAAGGCTAAGTTTCACAAAGAGGACTGAAGTATCCATCTCTGTAGTTTGTCAAATGATGTATTTTTCTCCAGGGGGCTCTTGACAGGAGCTCAGATCCTCTGCACAGGCTAGTGAGGAAGGGAGAACTGGCACTGCACTTTGTGTCATGTTGTGTTTGCTCAGTGTTTCATGTGGTTGAATGCTGGAAGCTTTTATAACTCAGAGTAACCACAAATGAGAGCTGCAGGCAGGATTGTGAGGCTGACGCACTTCTGCGGCACAGATCCAGTTGTAGAGGAAGACAAAGGTCCTGTGGTTTTCTTGGGGAATAATCAGCTGGCTTCTGCTGTGGCAGATGCTCTGAACATCCATCTTAAACAACAAGGCATAATTTAATAGGATTTCTAGTGTAACTAATGCTCTTGTTTTAGTTTACAGACTTGAATCAAATCACTTGGGGAAGGAGAAGATGCTACTTTTTTGGCTAAAAACTTTCAGTGCATTTTGTTTAAATTTATGCAGCTGGCACATCCACAGCTGATAACTCATGCAGATGTCGTGTGGAGAATTGCAAAGCTTCTGGCTAAAAAAAAACACCCCACAATTTATTTCACTTCAACATCTTAATTAGTTTTATAAAAATAAAAAGGAGAGATTAGGAAATGTGAGTTTGTGGAAGAATTCTCATCGTGTGAACAGTAAAATATTAGGGATCTGATTAAATCTGAGTTGCCGTTAAACTTGGGCCCAGTGTACAGACTACTGGGAGACAGCAGATGAAAATGGGTAAATGTAGATATATGTGTACTGGTGCGTGGCCTGGCCTGAGCAATGGAGCTCTCTGATACTGTGAAACTGTTAGAAGAACAGTTGCCGGCATGGCCAGCTTTGGCCAAGGCTTACTTACAGTCTCACAAACAGTTCATGGCCATGATTTAGATGTTACAGCATTGCAGGGATCATTCCCCATGCACGGTTTACATGCAGCCATTCTGAGAGGGTGCAGGTTTAACAGACTTGGCCAGACGATGCCATTTGGCCTCAGGACCAGAGGGCTGGCCCGGGCACTCTGTGGTTTTCTAGTTGCTCTGACCAGTGCAGGAGGGAATTCATGTTGGTTTTAGCAGTATTCCACTATAACGAAATGACCTCTCCCACACATAATTTTAGATGTCTCATTTCTGTTTGAACAAATACTTAATATTTGTGTTAAGAAAATCTCAGTCTCTGTCTCTTTTGGACCTCTCTTGCAGATTTTTTTTTGGCAAAAGACAGAGGAAAATATTTTTGTCTTTCACTTCTACATTGACAACAGAATTTGTCTTTGCAATTTTTAGGGAGACAGTGAAAGGCATGTTGTCTTTGGTGCCAGCAGTGATGATGATGCAGTAATTTTGCTGTTGTTGATAATGCATTATTTGCACACAATTTTAGGAACTGCCTTCTGTATGAAAAAGTGATCCTTTCACATGTGCCTGTAAAACCCCACCAGTATAAGAATAAGACACTGAGACATAAACTTAATATGCAGCCCACTTCTTAAGAAAGACAGTAATCATTTAAGAGCTTTGCCTTTGCAATTTCTTAGGATGGCTGCCCTCTTATTTCAAGGAAACAATGATTCCAGCAGCATTACTGCTGAAAGTTATGTATTTTTGTGGTGCGTTTAGGTAGACAGAACGGGTTGTGTGACAAGAACAACGAGCACATGCACTTTAAAAATCCTCTGATTTCCAACTAGTATCTAGGTCATATGATACCCACAGGCATGATTCATCCACCTGGGCTTTATGCCAGTCAGCAACTGCATGGATCTGACACTCCAGGAATACTGTAAAATTATTAAAGCTGTATTTTTTTCTTTAAATAATGCTGTTGATTATAATCGTAAAAAATACAGCATATAATTTATAGTTCCTTTCTTAAAGAATTCATTTCATTAAGCAGATGCAAAAAGTACAGTATGGACTGAAGAGAATGCAGAGCACACCTAGCTGAATGAGCCCAGGTAGCTTTCCTTGGCCCTACAGACTTTCATTTCAAAGGTTGCTATCTTGATATAAAATCCTATTTGAGGCAGAAGTAGTCTTCACCTGAGTGTATCTGCTTGAAGCCCAGCTAGCTGTTAAGGGTTGCTCTTAGCTACAATGAGCTAAAAACTGCTAATGTTTTGCCTCTGTTAGGCTTTTGTATAAAGATGATAATCTCCTTGAGGGGCAGAAACCCCATACGTTTAGTACAAACCTCATACGTTTTTTCTGCAATGAAATTCATTTTCAAGAGATTAGATCATGCTTATTTTTAGGCATGTGTATTATGCAGACAGACACTCTTTAATTAAAGATTCAACAAGCCTTGTTCAGGGAACCATCAAGCTGCATTTTTAAAAGATGTGTAGGTGTCTAGGAAAACAAAAATGTGTGTAGTTGGGGTGGGTTTTTTCAGATGTACCAACATGTTCACCTCAATGAACACTTATGGAGTAGATTCTTCTGCGGCTTGCCAGGTTGCTTACCTTTCATTTCTAGGTGCCTGTATACTTTAAAAACGTAGGCCCTAATGACTTTGAAAACAAGCTACCTCTTTTAACTCCTACTTCTGAGGAGTCCCATACAGATTATTTTTTTAATGCATCTTTAGAGAGTAAAGGCTGGAATTCCCACAGATGAACTAAAGAGACAGCCTTCTAGAAATGAGGTGAGGAAGTGTAGCCTTTGCCAACTTGTAAAGAAACAACAGTGATTAACTTCTATGAACTCAAAACTGAAAAAAATATTTTCTCCTTTGTCTTCCTGAGTTTGTGACTTCCCATCCCATGAAAGTGGGTTATGGTGGGCTTGCTCTGAGTAAAGGGTTTTTTTTCTTTCTTTCATCTAGATAAAGAAGAGGCAACAAGATGTGGTGAGGTTTCTGGAAGCCAATCGCATAGAGTTTGAAGAAGTGGATATCACAATGTCAGAGGAGAAGAGACAATGGATGTATAAAAATATTCCTGAGGACAGGCAGCCTGCACAAGGCAATCCACTGCCACCACAAATATTCAGTGATGATCGGTACTGTGGAGTAAGTAGCTGTTACGGTTGTCAACGGGCGATATATTAGTATACCCTGTTGACCATTTAAAAGACTGGGACTTGCTGTTGGGCTTTCTCTAGTAGCATCTGAATTAATGGTGACAGTTTGGGGTGACAGAAGCAGGTGATGATCATACAGTGAAAATTCAGATCATTCATCTGTAAATCCTAAAGTTGTCTTCAGCTGGTGGATTCCATCCACGGATGTAAGAATTTGTAATGTCACATGCTTCATGTACAACCTGTTGATGGTGAAGTCCCATGTGAAACCACACTATACGCTGGGGATTTATGGTTTTCTTGCTACTTGGGTTTAGTCCAAGCGTAAAAATTCAGAAGGAAATCTTTGGCACAGTAAATGAGAACATTGGCTAGATTGAGTTATATTGTCATTGTAATTAAGCTCCTTCTCTGCTGCTGTCATAGTGTAAATTTCATTTATGCTCAGAGAGCCTTTATGCAATCAGAGTCTCTAGGATAAATTAAAACTATTTGCTGTTTGAATTGTAGAACAGTTTTATTTTTCTGTAAAGCAAAGCAGCTTGAGACTTGTCTTCCTCTGCTCAAAGACTGCTAAGCATGAAAGCCTGTGAATCTGACAACAGATTGATGGGTGGATTGATTTCTCTGACGGTGTAAGCTGCAATAACTTCTCCATCCACTAGCGCAAGCTGAAGCAGTAGCCTTTGATAAGTTAACAAGGGCACCATATGAATGTTTTACTCTCCTGCTTAGCCAGCATTGTGTGCTGCGGCTCTGGGTCTTGGGTGCTGTTGTAGTCTGGGAGAATCTTCCCAGAACTTTTACTCATCTTTGAACAAAATGTTGTAAAAAGACCACAGCTGGGCTCTCTTTGCCTTGCTGCATCTTTTCATACTTCAACCATGTGACTTGTGCATTCTTTAGGAGGCAGGTTTGAGGTACCTGTTAGACTAGCTGATGGGAGAAAGGGAGGTTTGATGTGCCACCCTGGCTGCATCAAGAAGTGATGGGGTAACGTTTGCCTGTGAATTCAGGAGGAGAATGAAATGGGGAAGAAGGTCTCTGTGGTTATAACAGCTGGACCAGAGTAAATGTGGGTATTGTGTGGGTTTCTGACTACCATGTGGTGGAGGTACATCCAAGCCGGTTCTAACTCAGCTCCTGCCAGACTCATGGTGCTGTAACTAAGCTGCTCCTGGCTAATGGAACGCTCAGATCTGCTGAGAACCTTTCGACTGCAGTGCAATTGTTAGCTTAATGTAGGAAGTATGTAAGAAGTCATTTAGGATCCTCTGCAACAAACAGATTGGGTATGATGCAGCAGCTAACTGGCTTCTTGAAGCGAGGTATTTAACATCTCTCCCGTATGTTTTGTATTGGCCTTACTTGTTTACCTCAGCAGTGTAACTCATATCTTCCTACCTCTGGGTAAGAAATGTCAGTTAAAGAAATGCATCTGGGACATGGAAGGGATTTTGACCCGCACTTATGGAGCAGCTCCTCACTTACTTACAAATAACAACATTTACATTGTTCTGTGTGATTTCAGTTTGCCTGGGAAATACAATGTTTTAAGCTGTTGTTTCTTATCCTGTCAGCTTGTCTTTATAACATGTTTTAATGTAGTCTTAGAAATTGCTGTTTGGAATTAGCAAGGAAGAAGATGTCATGCAACATGTGAGATGATCTTGTTAATCTGTCTGCTCAGCTGATAGCTGTTTTGGTTGAGCAGAGTTAATCCTATTACTAGACCTCACTGTCCGCATGAACATCTTTAAAGAGCAAACATGGTTTGAAAGAAACTATTTTCTAGGATGAAGGAAGAACTGTGCAGGATCTCCAACATTCATCAGTTAGCCTACTGCATTAGTTAACGAAGTACTTAGGTAATAGAGCGGAGGCGAAACATCAGGCAGGAGGCAAAGGAGATCAGTGCTGGAAAGGGGGTTAAAATATCACAATCAGATGAAGTCAGCAGACATTGCACAACTTGTCTCTCTTTGTCATTTCCACAGTGAGTGTTTTCATATGTTTATCTTGACATAAATAATAAAAAAATTCGCTAGTAAATAATTTAAACTGAAAAAATACCCACTGAGTTTTCCGTTAGTTGAGTTAGTGAAAATAGGCTTATAATTTGTGATTTGTGTCCAGGCAATTTCTAATCCATTTTGCTCCATTAACAAGCACTGTCTTTTTCTGCCTGCCAGTTCTACAGTCTCACTGGGAAACTGCTTATGTACTCATTCTGGCTTATACATTGTTACTGACAATACAGACTTGCTTACAATACAAACTGGTCAGATCCATTGCTGTTCCTCTAAATGTATGAGGGCTAGACAAGGCAAAGGAAAATAGGTATATTTTTTTTATTTTGTTCATGTTATTTCAATAGAGGTTCACAAGGATATGGTGTACAAGCCGTGACTCCATGTCATGTTCATAGCCATGCTGTTTTTTCTGTGTTAGTAAAAGCATTAACAGTTTTTTGTTTTGTTTTGTTTTTTTTTCTCTCTCCCCATTTTCGCTTTAGTAGAAAATCTCAGCAATGCGCACAAGGGTAGTATCTCAGGATAGATTTTTCTGGCTAGGGCATTGCCATTTGAAATAAACACTTTTCAGAATGTAACTGCAGTATAGAGGAAGTTTGTCTTCAGTGTTTTCAGTAAGTATCCAAAATGGGTTGGTGTCAGCCATTTGAACATGTGATAGCTGGTGTAAGGGAGGAGAAAGGTACAAAGATGACCAGTGCTTACTGGTTCACAAACCAAAATGTATCACAGGGCGAGGGATCCTTTTGGTACCAACAGGCAAACTCCATGTTTTGAAATTTGATCAAAACCTTGAAATTTTTCTGAGTTGATGTAATTGCAAATATGATCATTAATCTATCTTGTCCTTTTCTCAGTCTTCTGAGATGCACTCTCCAATTTTTCAGTAGCAAGTTCTGCTAATGGATTTTGAAATAAAGTACTGAGCAAGAACCATTTTTATTTCCTGCGAACAAGATAAGAGTTGTGAGCACACAAGAACACAAATCATTTTACTGATAATCCAGTGCTGTCATAGCACTGACACTATGATACGTATTTTTGACTTTACAATCTGTTGTTTCATCTTAGTGACATTGCTATAACATTGTAAGTACGTGAGAAGAGAGTCTCCATTTCAGACAAATCAGACACATGAACCTGCTGTTCTAATTTACAGTGGTGTAAATCTGAAATTACTACAGTTACCTTCCTCTAGTTAGTGCTACGTAATGATAATGCCTATTGCATGTTCCAAGAGGGAACTCCTGCACTTTGCACGAAGAAAAGTAAAGTGGAGATACTTTGGAAAAGATAAAAGAAGGACAAGTAGAGCCTTAATAGGAGCTGGTGTGTTGGGTTGGGTTGTTGGGCATTTAAACCAGTTGCGTCTTGCCTGGTTCCTTACAAGGCTCGTCCACAGTTTGTTTGAGTGACTTCTGCTGTAGTACTTTGACATACAGCTATGGAATACAACTCAAATCATGTATTATTTTCCCCCAGGGTTAAATCTCCTTGCAGTACACACCGGATTTCCCTGTCCTCCTGCATTACCCGCCAAGTGGACCCTGGCCCTTGAGCAAAAGCAACCCCACAAACGGGTTTGCCTTTTCCTGAGGGAGGAGCAACCCACACTGTCTTTCCCAGCCACTGTTCTCCACAGCAGGGAGGCTTTACCCACTTGACTTGTTTGATCATGGCGCATTTCGCATTCATGGATAACCTGTTCAATGGCTTCAATGGTCAGGTCCTCCCCTTGATCACGAGGCCATCTATGCATTGCATCTCTTCCTAGGTGTCCTGATGTGTCATGGGCCCACTGAGCTATGAATAGCGTGCACTTATGTGTTCCCAGTTCAGGTCCACCTGAGCCATTTCAGTTCTGGCAGCCTGGCCTACCTGCTCCTTGTTTCCATATTCTTCAGTGGCATGGCTCTTAGGCACATGAATATCTACATAAAGTACTTTTATAACAAGATTCTCTACCTGGGCAAAAATGTCTTGCCACAGTGCAGCAGCCCAGATGGGCTTACCTCTGTCTGGCCAGTTAGCTTCTGTTGTAGCCACCCTTACAGGGCATTTGCTGCCATCCGTTAGTCAGTGTGGAGGTAGAGTACTGGCCACTTTTCTCTTCCGGCAATGTCTTGGGCCAGCCGGATGGCTTTCACTTCTGCAAACTGACTCGATTCGCCTTTGCCTGTGATGGTTTCTCTGACTTGTCTTGTGGGACTCCACACAGCAGCTTCCGATGTTTTCCCACAATATGACAGGACCCATCAGTAAATACAGCATATTGTTTTTAATTTTCTGGTAATTTATTATACAGTGGGGCCTCTTTGGCATGAGTCACCTCCTTGGGCAATGCTTCAAAACGTCTGCCTTCTGGCCAGTCCATCATCTCTTCCTCCTGCTCTCCCTCAGGAGGAGTTTCTTTCTCCTTTACTAACTGGGTCGACCTATGCTTCTGTTGTTTCTTCTTGATTGCAGGAACAATTGTTGTAGATGGGAGTTGGGTTTCTGATTTAGCCACAGTGTCTGTTTGTGTGTCCTCAGATCCAGAGACCCTCTCTCTCATTTGAGCATAGGCATAGGTCTGCCCCAGGCCCCAACACAGTGCTGGAAGTTGTGTCTTTATGGTATATGCAAGGCATCCTTCCTTCAAGTGGTCTGCCAATTCGACAGGATTCCACGTCTGTTCAGCAGTGAAGTCCCAGACCATCGGAGCTGAGAGCTGCTCTAGGCACCTGCCCAAATTCTCCCACACACCTTGCCACTGGGAATTAGTTGTCTCAGGGCACATTCCTGTGTGGCATTCCCAGCTGGTTGGTTAACCTTATGAAAAGCTAAAATCAGCTTCACTGCACTCACCAATACACCCTTCTGGTTACATAGGGGTATTCAAGAAACTGAAGGGCCATTGCAACAAGGGTGGAAACATCTGTCCTGGAGAAGACGAAGATGCCATTCTTCATTTCCT